CGCCTTGGGGTCCCCGCCGCCTTCCTCCTCCTCCTTCGGCGTCGCTGCAGAGCCACTGCCCTTCTGGCCCCCCGCGCGCGGGGGCTTCTTCTCCTTCTTGCCCATGCCCAGGGGTTTTCACGTGTGCAAGGGGAGTTCGGTTCGAGCTGGGTTTTTTACCCCTCGAAGAGTCGCTCGGGTGCTGGCTGGGTTGTTCCTGGTGTGTGAGTCCAGGAGGCTGAACAAATATGGAAAACATTTGGAGCAGATTGTCCAAGGGAGCGTCTAAATGCCACATATAGCCCAGGGAAGAGGGGGGCGCCAGGGGGGTAGCGCACTGACAACCGGCAGTGCCCCGGACGCGCGGTGCGTGTGAGCACGTGCATGCGTGTGTGCAAGAGGCACATGTGTGAGCACACACGTGCATGTGTGCGAGGCACATGTGTGAGCACACACGTGCATGTGTGCGAGGCACATGTGTGAGCACGTGCGTGCATGTGTGCGAGAGGCACGCGTGTGTGCACGTGTGAGCGTGCATGTGCCTATGTGCAAGAGGCACACGTGTGTGCACACTTAGGTGTGTGCAGACACACGTGTGCTCATCTATGCACGTGTGAGAGTGTATGCATCTCTGTGCACGCACACGTACACACATCTTTCAAATACCTGCTGGATTACCTGCGTCTCGGTGCATTTTAGTGTGTGGGGAGAACTAATGATGTCTATGAAAATGTACAATTAACACACAGGGAAGAATGGGAATCAGCATTGGAGATGCTTCACTCACGGTGAATCCTCAAGCGTGGGGGCAGCAAGGCAGGCACATCTGAAGTCATGGAAATCACCAGCAGAACGGCCCTTGAGAACTGCCACGTGCTTTTGTGTGGGGGGAATAACCCAGATGTTGAACACACACAGAGATGGCACCAGGGAAACCTTCCCTTTGACGTACGGGTTGACGATGCCCTCTGAGGAAGCGCTCTATTTCCAGATGCTTATGGCATAGAACAGCAACCAAGTGTGTCCTCTTTATTAATAAATTATGGTGTCATTTTGCTTTATGGGTTAAGCAATATCCTCTTTGAATATTTATATCAGAAAACATACAGAACAATATGAGAAACAAAGTGATTTCAGGCTCATAACTCCCATGCTGCACCCAGGGAGGAAAATAAGACAGATTGCTCAAAAAAAAAAAAAAAAAAAAAAAATTAAGGGAAAAAAAAAAAAAAACACAAGGGGGGGAATTGGAAAAAAATAAGAAACCTCTTCCTTAGTAGCACCACTTTCTGACCTAAGCTTTTCTAGCCTTTTACCAAGGCCGTTTTGTCACCGTGATGCTCTTCTCTCCGCATCCCTGCGACAGTTTCCCGGTGCTCCTGGCTCCACGGAGCTCTGCCAGCTACAGCAGGGCAGTTTCTTCCGTTCTGCCTCCCCTCCAGTTGCCCTCCAGCTGTGTCCCAGACCTTCGCTGCAATTTTCAGTCCCAATTTGAGCATATGGATTCAGGCTGGCCGCTGGATTTATGGCTGTGCTATCTGGGCAGTGAATTGCAATACTCTCCAGGGAAATCCACCTTGGCCACAGCCTCCGATGTCCCCTTGGAAAATCCCAGCTATGCAGCCTGAATCCAGAGCTTTTAAGGCAAGCCCAGGCTGCCGCAGGGGACATTGCCTGAAAGGTTTGGGCGCACAGTCATGAAACACGGCCCACGCAGCCCCGGTTTGGCTTTCTTGCTGCAGCCGGCGAGCCGGTTGTGCCGAGTGGGACGCAGCCTCCCTGGGGGCTACGGACGGAGTTATTTGGCTAATGCAACTGCATGAGGACGGCCGGCCCTGGGCGGCTTTGGGGAGCTCTGCGGATGCCGATCAGTTGCTGCACGGGGAACTGCACTTCTTGAGAAAGGGAGAGATGAAATGAGGACAGCGACTGGAGTTCCTGGAGTCATACATCTTCCGGACGCCGCTCGGATTTCCTCAGCAACGCACTGCTAATCATTACCGCTTCGCGCCCAAAGGCCTGATTAAGTGTGTTCTTAAGCTAGGCGCGTGCCTGAATATCCTTCCTGGAGGAGGATGTTTGCTGCGGGGAGCCCGGTCCCATGTGGCGCGCGGTTGCGATGATGGTGCCCTGTGTGCCAAGTGAGTCACGTTCCCCAGCTTTCCCTGAGCCAGCCAGGGCCTGCAGTGGGATCCTCAGGAGCTATGACAGCCAGTCCCACGAAACTAGGCTGGAGCAAGAGGCTGCGGGACAAGGAGACATCAGGTAAAGCTCATCCTCACTGATTTGTATACACATTCCTACCCTCCAGCAAATGCTCCATACTGACCCAGCATCCCTAGGACCCTGCTATGTGGAAGTAAGGAGTTTGAAAATGCAGGAAGAAGACTTGTTTCCAAACACTCCCTCCTTCTTCGAAGCGTATCCGTAGAGGGTTTCATGTGTCAAAACACATTAACGAGATGCTCTGGCCATTAGACCTTCTCACTGGGTGTTAATTACTACCTGGTTAAACACAGGCAAATCCTCTTATTCGTGCTCTTCCCCAGGCTAACGGCTTTGGCCGATCCCGCAGAC